TGATGATTCTTCGAAGCTTTCATGCCTTTCATATTTATTCAGTTAACGGAGCAATTTTTCAGTGTAAATTTTATGTTTATGAAATGTGTCAAGTGATATCGGTTTCGTGATTGTGAGACTCTGAATCAGTGTTATGATATAAAAGGTCTCACTGCGACTGTTTTACGTGTTTGTAGCGATACGAAGAGCTGCCATTCATGTTGGGCGTGGAACCATTGACGGTTAGGCTTGAATTTGATAAGACGTTATCGCGGGAGTGCACTACATAATGTGAACTATCTGGCAAATCACGTGTCGTCTTTAAGTGGTCAGTTGCCATTTGGAGAGGATAGAAGGAATCCTCATTAGAATAATTGTTGTGAAAAGAATAGTTTATGAATTTTTTGGAGTAGTTCAATGTTTTGTTGCTCGATGCATTCCTCGTTTCACTTTTGAGAAGGGATTCATTCACTTGTGCAGATGAAAATTCCAAAAAAAAAACAATAACAGCTAAAAACATTCATTGTTGTGATTATAAGATAAGATGAATATTCATTTATCTGTATAATTCAAGTATGCATATGTGTGTGTGTTGATGGACGTAGCGTGAACGTTTTATTATTTGCTTTTGTTTCTTCATTTCACATTAGCGCTGCTCCTGGCCCGTCCCGTCGTGTCCTGTCCCACTCTTTCTCTCTTTTAAGCACCGATCGGACTTCGTTTGTCTCTTCATTACCATTTACATCGTTTATGAACATTTTGCATTTATTTTACTTCATTTTGTGCCACTCTTGTATTCTCGTTGTCTTCTTATTACTATTATTATTTGCTGAGTTGTTTTATGAGTTTCCTTTTCTCTACTTATTTATTTATTTATGCATTTCATTCACGTGCGCTACCCTAGGTCAAGACGAATTTTGTATTATATGCGCATATTTATTCGTCTGTTTACTTGCTTATATATGTGTGTGCGGTGATTGAGCGTAGGATTTGATATGGGCACAAGACCTTGACCATTAGGAACACTGAAGCCGAGCTAATTTATCCTCTGAAAGGCGTTTAAATGATGTTTCTATACTGGGTTTTTCAAGGAGGCTACACACTAGTATTGTTTTGCACTCGATCGAGTTATTTTGTTGCACATATTCATGTTTCTGTTGAAGTGAGTTAGGGTATGCATATTTGAAATAAATTTTCAAGTGTTCCACTGACTGTGAGAACGTTGTATGTTTATCGTGCGATGGGATAGTTGATTGCTGAATAACGGTGATGTTTGGTGCTCAAATGTGATAGTTTACTATTGGCTAATATTGTAGGCGGTTATAGATTAATAATCACCGTTAAATTAGTCGTAGCCAGTCCATCCCCGTATCTATCGCACTGCGGAATATCACTGTTCCAATTGAACGCTATCTTTACTTGGTACCATAACTGGAGGTGTTTATGAAAATATTATGATTACTAATTACAACAACGATGAGTCTTCTTCCTTGTAACGACTATACTTACATTGTTATTATTACTATATTTGAATCAATTGATGATTTTCTGATAATATGCTATCATCTATTCTCTTGCTAGAAACTATTTCAAAAAACTAATCATTTTTGAACGCCACAAAACATCATCAAAATTTTCACCAGCTCATAGTTTAGAGAAATCAGTAAATATTTTTGAATGTTTTTTTAAATTATTGGAATTCGTCAGTTCTAATTAATGTTCTTTTGTGCATGCTATTTCATAAACGTTACTGTTCACCGACGTGAAACGTGTGTTGTCATGAATAAATTCAGTGCTGGTGTGCAGATGTGACAGTCTAATTGAATGTGTGTTCAGAGGTTGTCAATGATAACGTGAAATGATATCAGTGTATTATACTATAAGGGAATATTGAACGTTATTATTCTGTATATAAGTGATAATCATTCGTGTTGGATATAAAGCATAGTTGCGTTCGAATGAACGGATTGCTGGATGAATGCAACGAATCAATAATTCACTATTATCAGTCTGTTGATCAGTTGATGGTGAACTTATTCAGTGCAAAAAATGGCAATAAAGAAGATTACAAAACGGTTGTATGCATTAGGAATTGAAGGTGATCATCGAAATGAGCAACAGGAAATGATAATTTGTAAAAATGGTAATAGTTTTTTGAATGACAAAGCCAGCCATAATATTACTGCTGATGATGAGAGAACTGATGACGAATCATTGACGAATGACGTGTCAATGTCCATTGCTGAAAGTATATTCGATATCTGCTCATGCTCGAAAATGCCTAAAACGTTTTCAAACGAGTACGTTGCATTGATTTGTTTTCGTTCCAATAATTACTAGTAATTAACAATAATTATATTTTTAATTGGTATTTCGCACTTTACAAAATCTAATGTGAATGTTCCGTTTGCAGAAAATGTTCCCAGTCGTCGTCACATTCATCAACACCGAATTGTTATCGGTCGAAACATGTAGTTTCTTTTCGATGTTGTTGTAAGGGTAACGAGAATGAATCATGTGACCATCAGTCGATTGCTTCACGTCGTTGTTTATGTGAAAAATCAGTGAGGAATATGCACGATAACTCATCCACTTATCATCATCACCTTCCCTCGTGCATCCATCTGCCAATATCTTCTTGTTATTATTCCACTGCTGATAATGACCCAATACCTGAAATTAACACAGCCCAATATTATCGATTAGAACGTATCAAGCATTTGTCGAATGCTCATCGAATTAATGGTAAAAGCCATGCGAATGCTTATTTCATAACTAGCAGTGATGAGGAACGATCATCATCTGTATGCTATCGTGCTTCACAATCCTCATTTTCGGTAATCATTTCGGCATTAATGTTATCGTTTGCTGTTGTTGTATCAAGTACGTCTGTCAATAACCGACAACAACAAATGTCATTTATTGAATATGCTGAAAACGAACACGAATATCAATCAGCCAACTTCTTGCATTCTGAATCGACCAATGCTCATATGAATAATGATGGTTCGATTGCTGGACAACAGCTGGATAGTAATGAACATAATAAAAGAGAATTGATTAGTCATAATGGAATTAGTTCCTCATCTACGTCATCAAGTCGCTCCTTCAAGAAAACTTTTACGAATCAATATGCAATTCGGATCGAAGGTGGTGATCCGAATGAGGCCGATCGATTAGCTATTAAATACGGCTACATTAATCTCGGCGTTGTAAGTTCTTTGTTCGTATCCCATCATTTTTCACATATCTTTCGAAAATATATATTACTTTTTAGATTGCTTATATTATTGACTTCGTTATAAATAAGGTGTGTCATTAAATACCCTTGATATCCATTATAACCTTATAAATTGCTTTCAATTCTTTTCTTCAATCACGTTTTTCTATCCATAAATTTCTTTGTGAGGATTGCAGCTCCCATGAACTCACAGTACATATATAAGACTGAAATGAGCTCATTTTGCGCGCAGTAAAGTCGTTCATTAGTTCAACTGTATAATGTGTGATCTCATATGTGTTGATGTCATTAATAATCAACCGAATAGCTTTGTGGGTGCCGTACAAAACTTCTTTGAAGAGTCTTCCAGCTGATGCTTGAATGCGTGTAGCTTAAACTGCACTAAAGGTTTTGCCATACAACTACTGTATGTTTCTATGAGAAATATTCCATGTAATTGCGAGTATTATCCGCATGAAGTTACTTCGAAACAGCCAAAAGCATGAATTCAGATGCAATTTAATTGTGATTCTGATTCTGAACATACGCTAAATTCAGCCATTTTCAAGGTGGTTGTGAAATTCCGTATAAAAAGTGATTGTTTTTTGTTTAGTTTGAATTTGAGTGCGAAGGCTTTCGCACGAAAAACAAACATACGTTTAATGCTATTTTCACTGTACATCTATCTATCTCTTCGAATAGAGTTGGTATTTACAGAACGTTTCGTTCAGAATATTCTTAGACATGTGACTTTCTGTCCAATTAGCTAACTACTAAAAATTGTGTGGATGATGTAATCATTAGATGAGAAGAAATCACTGGTGGCGTTCGATGAACCTCATCACTTATCATCTAGGTGCAATAATCGATTCTGGATTCTAATCCTTCTTTAGTTTATTCTCTTTGTTTATATGCTTTATCTTGTATCACTTTCTCGTTCTCATTTGTTGTTAATGAGTGCTATATGCTAGTTAATTCATTTGGGATGGTTCAAGCGACCCATCACATCTGATTAATCTTATCTAGTCAAATCGTACGAATTGCATATAGATCCATTTACTGAAGCACTCACAAAGGTCATCTTTAACTTAGTTCATTGTAAACATGAGAATTAGTGATTTTGGAAAAGCGATAAGAGTAGTCTTGCAAATGTGATTAATTGTAAAATAGAAGAGTGTTAATGAACATCAACAGACAAATTGATACCACTTCTAACTAAGATATTCGTTGTCACAATGATAAATTAGTTCATGTCGATTGAATTTAGCTTATTTTGTGCTTATGAGTAGAAACCTTTAGACGTATAATCTCTATTTAGACGTATATGCGTCACATATTTTGTAATCATTGCATTTTACTCTTAATATCGTAATAAGAAGTATTTTATTTGTCGTACAATTCTGAGAACCTACCCTTTGATTGTAATCTCTCATCAATGTGGCACACACTTTTTAAATATGAATATCTGCAAGCCAGTCTTTATCTTACCCAGAACATATGAGGTTCATGCCAGAATTCTTAGCCATTTGGCGTGAGACTCATTCTCTGATAAGGTTAGGGAACGTTTCATTCAGAAGGATTGAAAGCCTTAGATCATGAGGAAAACATTACCGATGGCACGGACTTATTTTGTTTTGGAATATTCATTAGAGTTGTCAGTTATAGGGTGATATATCAGTGAATGTTCTCTAGAATTTTTTCCGTTTATTAAATGAAAAGCAAAGAAAGCTTCAGCTTCGATAGTGAAGAGTGATGTTGACTAAAAGACGGGTGTAATCGGTAATACTGAATGTATTTTACGGGTTGTATAGTAGATTTTCATTCAGTCTGTGAATTCCTCTCTGAATTAAAAAGGTGTTCTTCAGATATTACCTGGAGAGGAGTATTTCCTTTTCGAGGACCTTCATGTACGTAAACGTTCATCGCGTCGAACAAGAAGTGCTCAAACGGCTTATATTACCAGGGAACCACATGTTAGTTTATTTTCAATTCTTTTCTCTTCTCTCTTACTATTCATTCTTAACATGGTTTAGTGCAGTTGATTTCCCGTTATTTCCAGTGTCTACCTTTAACCATATCTCAGTTTCATTATATCCGGCTTAATGATCTCTTCTAGGATGTCAGCTCACTGTTAGGTTCGATTGAGAAGCTACCCTAAATTTTGTGCTTAATTTGAAATCTGTCATATGGGTATTGTCGAGCCAAAGATCGGCTTTGCTGGTTATTAAACATACCACTGTAGATACTTCTTTGTAGTAAATTTGTATTGCATTATTGTCGACATGTATCTTCTTAATTTCTTGAAGCATTTCTTGTGATGATAAATTGCAGCTCTCAGAAGGATCCGAAATTATATCGCTTATATCATAAATTGAAATTTTATTGAAAACTATTGAAGCCATGCTACCTCCATTTATGATACTTTTTAATACCCCAGATTTTTGTTTGACCAAAATCGCTCTCATCCACATCTGAGCTCTAGATCACTCCCTTCTTACTCTCCTCCAAGTTTGCCTACGTTTGTGGGAGAGTTCGGGCTAGTTTGGAGGACGGTTGAAAGTGGACGCTTCAATCATCGCACACATCATTTCATCATTATGCAATAAATTTTCACTTGCTACCGAAATTTATTAAGTGATCGCATTTTATGAATTAATTTGATACATCAAATAAATCTTAAGTGAAGTATGAAAATCTTACATTTGCACTGTATTGATTGTTGTTCTTCACTTTATTTGATAACGAATCATTTTTTTTCGAGCGTTGCAAAATATTCAATTAATAGTCGTTCAGCGATCTTTTTGCGAAGTGCTCTTTAAAATAATCGCTAGATTGATTCTTCTAACAATTTATTTGATTGGTTATAATTCAGTTTCTTTCGCATCAGTCGAAACAGATAATGAAGGCATCATTATTCTCATAATGAAGCACTAAAACAGTGGTGAGCATTAATGTGCTATTCACTATTCCGCCACTAACGCGGCTGCTGCTTTTTTCGATAGCGCGATAGCTCGTTAATTTTTCCATACATCAGAAATTTGTTGTCATAACTTCCGCTACAACAATTTTTAACGTCATAAAGTAGTGATAAATCGCGCTATTTTCTTTTATTAGCGTTTGATCGAGCTATCTTTAAAAGACGTTCGCTAACTTGCTACTTTTCGTTTGCAAAGGAATGCCTCTTTCTGCCACCACCATCAAGATATTCAGCCTTTGTGCGATGTCCATATTTTTGATGTTGATGGGTCAGACTGACCCCCTATGCCTTAACATAAGTTTTAATTTACATTCATTAGCCAAATCTCAACTCTGTAAGCCACCAAGAAATAGTTCTAAATTACTGAAGCCAAAGATCGATTCAGTTCACCAAAATATGGTTCAAGCATTTGTCAATGTTTCGAGACAACATTTTGTAAGATCTTATGGAACACGGCTAACTAATTTCGAATCTGTTCTCTGATTTTGCAAAACCACTTTCGATCCTGAGTTCTGATGGAGGGAAGAACCTCAAAAGAGTGAGTGAAAATGCCTTTGCATATACTTTTCCTCCTGTAGTTTTGATATATATGTATTTTTGGAGGAAAACCAGTTTCGATATAAATACAATAAACTTGGAACCTAATCGGAAATATGTAATCCAGTCACGCAAAACTTTATATTCTTAACTTCACTTTCCTCTCCATAATTACAATCGCACGAAAGCAAGCATAAAATAAGAGTGAGTTAATGTAACCGGGTTCATCTTTACCATATTGGAGGCAGAGAAAAGATAACTCTTCATTTGGTTATTGTTGTTTGAAATTTTTGGTAAGCGGATTCCATTTGTATAAAATTTGACATTATCAATGAACCACCAAAAGTTTCGCCAAATTTTAGACAGTTTTTCCCAGAGAAATCAACAGCGCGATTGCAAATTTCGAGGGAGGAATTGAAAATAGCGATTGATGGACTAATTTTACTGAGGAGTGATTTAACGAAAACTGTCGCTAGTTTTTAAATTAGCGGCACTATTAGCAAAAGGTTTTCGCTGCTATTATGTCAGCGACGCTATGAGCAAACCAGAAATATTATTTATCGAATAAGCGATTATCGGAATTACTCTTTTTCAGTAGCAAGCAGTCACATTCTAAAACATTCATTCTTCAGTCAGCTGTTCCATTGATTTGTTGGATTTTTTTTTTTTTGAATTCATTAATTATATCTTTCGAATGCACCGCACAATTTTGTGTGTACACTAATAGTAAACAGCCATTAACTATATTCCAAATATTTTTATTTCTGTTGATTTGCTACATTCGTTCGAAGCGAATTGTAGTACTCTGTGCTACCTGAGATGCATTTCGGAACTGCGATACTTTGAGCCATTTTAAATTCCAATGCTCAATTAATTAATGAATATTCAGCAATATATGGTTAATCTTTTTTTCTGTTGAGCAGATAGTGTTGTTTATACGATTATTACTATCTATTTGCTGAAACCATAGAATTATTTTCGTGAAGGATTATCGTGAATACTTTCAACAAATATTCGTACCAGTCTAATTAAGCGTTTGCATGATTTTTTGTTTCAGCTGTCAGTCAGCTTTTGTATGCAGTTGCTCGCAAAAACCTACTATTTGCGAAATGCATATTGATCGCTTCGCGCAGTTTTCGGAAGCCGTGAAATACCGTATCATTATTTGTTTTGAAAACTTACACAGGAAGATATTATGTGAATATTGTTACGCTGAATTGCTCACAGTGAATAACTGAAGAAATTCTATCAAAATCGTGAATCTATTATATCTTAGATAATAGACAAGTGCACTAACCAAAACAAGCAGTTGTTTTCATAAAACAACAATGAATGAATTGTTTCATAGTGAATTAATTGTTCACTAATAAAAATTCGCTTCAACGAATCAACGACGTTTGACGTCAGGCGTTTGATAATAAATAGTGCCGAATGTTGATTTAATACATTTCATCAGTCTTCATAAATACCGTACTATGCCCAATTTTAATACAGGTTCGTTCAGGTACAATCTATTGAGCAGCAAGTCGCAAAGAAACGTGTTAAACGGGGTTTCAAACCACTTTCGTCACCTGTCGAGCGACGTTTCCCAGTTGTTCATCAACATCGTCTGAAGGTGTTTGTTGACTTCGCAAATCGATTGTTCCATTAAGCATTCATATTCATCTACTCACGCTTCCTACTGTTAATTATTTCCCTTTCAGTACTAATATGGATAGCAACATTGATGCCAACACTAAGAAATATACTAATGATTTCAAAGAATTATTGTTAGCCTTAAAAAATGGCAATACTAATCCAGGGAAATCAATTGGGGAACGATTTGGATATGAACGTAGTGGCAAAAGATGATACTTTCTCTGAACTACCAACAAATGGTCAGCACGATGGTGCTGGTGGAATATACAATCTCAATGATCCACTGTGGAGTGATATGTGGTATTTGGTAGGTTTATTAGTTTTTCATTTACCAGAAATAACGTCAGCTTCAGTTTTTCTTTATGAGATAAACATCTTTATTGCATGCGATTGGTTAATAACTTCGTTAAAAATTGTCTCTTATTGTAGTGATAACCTTAATTATTTCAGACATCTATGGCTCATATATAGTGAAATATTCGTGTATGATTTCTATCATAATTACAAACCATAGAAACAATTTTCATTCAGATGCACTGTGCACAAAGCACCGTATATCCTCAAAACACACATCAAGTACTCGCACTCTTCTATGTTCGATCTTTTGAAAGTCAAGGAAAACAAACTAGTTATTCGTTATAGAATCGTGCCACTTTCGATCGCGGTATGGATCACAATGTGAAAGAGGCATGGGATCTCGGGTATACGGGTCGAGGAATTGTTGTGACAATTTTAGATGATGGCTTGGAGAGGACACACCCTGATATTGCCCCCAATTATGTGAGTTGTTTGGCCTCTTTTGAGTTCGAATTTATAAACTTGATCGGTTCAGAAGTACTCCCTAACTTGAACAATTACATACCTATTAACGTGTTTTGATCGTCGCTGATAAATGAGAGATGAAATTGAAAAGTGTGTGATCGTTGATTCGCTCTATTCAATCGAAGTCGGCATAAAGGCTTAACGAAGAGAAAATGTATGTGTCGGCAACACAGTTTGTCGTCTTTTAGGAAATTCTGTGTCGAAAATCTTCAGTTTAGTAACTAAATAATTTAGAAGCTTTTTTCTTTTCTTTTTTTACCCCTTTAAAATCAAATTCATCTGGCGGGCCAAAAATTATTGTCGGTGGGCAGGGGGTTGCCGATGCCTGCTCTGAATCATAGACATTTCGCTGCAAAATTCGATAATTTTTCGTATCACATATTTGTTTTTTGATAGGATGCAAAAGCAAGTTATGATGTAAACGATCGAGATGACGATCCCACACCACGTTATGAATATACCGATGAGAATAGACATGGCACGCGATGTGCTGGTGAAGTGGCAGCTATATCCAACAATTCATTGTGTATTGTTGGAATTGCATACAACGCTCGAATTGGAGGCAATTGTTTATTCATTCATTCAATCCAAACTTAAGTCGGCAGTCGAATCGAATCTGGGGCGTCTCCGAGGGTAGAGGGTAGAGTCGAGGCCCTTTGAGATATTGCCAATGCTGGGGGA